ATATATATATATGTCATTGTTGTTGCTATGCACTATTGAGTTGGTTCTGATGCATAGTAACCCTGTATAAGGTTTCTGAGGAGTGGCTGGTGAGTTTGAATTGCCGACCTCATGGTCTAGCGCTTATCCTACAGTGCCACATGAGGACTCCTAGATATATAACTTGAAAACTACAAGCTTATACATAGAAGGATATATGTAAAAAATGTTCATAGAATCATTGTTTCTTGTAATAGCCTCACGCCAACAACATTCCCAATACACACTTGTGATAGATTTATTGTGTTTATTCAACAAAATGCTTTGTATTAGTAATAACAAACAAAGTCTATGTGCAACAATATGGATGAATATCATAAATATATGCTAGACAAGTGAAGCAAAAAATAAGGGTAAATAAGTATAATTCCATTATATAATGTTTAAAAACAGGAAAAATAAACTATATTATTTAGGAATAATTATATTGGTGACAAAAACTTTAAGAAAATCTATAAGGATACAGTTACTACAAGTCAGGATAGTTGTTACCTCTAAATAGGAGGATGTGGAGAATATGGGGGCTTTTGATGGGGATAGTAGGGTGCTGTAGAGTCAGTTCTGAGGCTCTAAGTCTTTATGGGAGCAGAAAGCCTCATCTTTCTCCCATGGAATGACTGGTAGTTTCCATCTGCTGACCTTGAGGTTAGCAGCCTAACTTATAACCACTATGCTACCAGAACTCCTTCTATGGGGGCTTCCACAGGGACTTATAATATTCTGTGTGGTAGTTACATAGATGATTTATTTATTTATAATTTTTTGTCAAACTGTTCATATGTTTTGTATTGTTTGTATTGGGCTGAAGCATTTGAAATTGGTATTTTTGTAGGTTAAAAAACATTGGCAATTCTATATTGTTGTATAATGTGTTTTATTTTATAATAAAATGTCAGAAAGGGAAAAAAAAAGTTTTTCTCTTATAACAACCAGATGCTGAGTGTGGAGATAAATGGACAGTAAGACAATTAAGAGAGACAAAATGTTCTTCAAACGTAAGTCAAATGTATTATTTCTAATTTCTAAGCAAAATAGTCCAATTTAAGACTTTCTGTTTCCTTTAAAATTTCCAAATTTAATACAATAAAGATCACATGTTTATTATGTTGTTCTATAAATCTTTATGGGAGCAGAAAGCCTCATCTTTCTCCTGTGGAACGACTGGTAGTTTCGAACTGCTGACTTTTAGGTTATCAATCCAACTCATAACCACTATGCTACCAAGGGAGGGTAAATAAAAAAGAGTATTGCTACTGGGGTTCCAGTTCATACATGTTGTTGTTGTTAGGTACCATCGAGTCGGTACCGATTCATAGTGACCTTATGCACAGCAGAACGAAACACTGTCCGATCTTGGGCCAACCTCACTCCTGTTGCCACACTTGAGTCCATCGATGCTGCCACTTGGCCAATCCATCTCGTTGGGGGTCGTACTCTTTTTCTCTGACCCTCCACCTTACTAAACATGATATCCTTCTCTAGCGACTGGCTCCTCCTGACAATATGTCTGAAGTATGAGAGATGAAGTTTGGCCATCTTA